ATCCTCTGAGCCTCCTCATTTATTTTTTCATCTTCTAACAAATTTTCATTTAATCTCCATCGAAAAGTCTTTTCCTCTAATTCTTTGAATTCACACTTAATTGCATTGTGATCTGAAAGTATCTTTGGTTGGATTTCTATTTTTGTAACTCTAGGTATTAGTTCACTGGATATCCACACAGTCAATTCTTGAAGCCGGTTGATTTGGTTCTGAAAAATACGTAAACTGCTTATCTAATGGGTGTCTCAGTTTCCAAACATCTATCAAATTGCAATTCTCTATCATAGAGAAAAAAAGTCTTTGGTAACTTCCCTTCTTTTATTTTCTCTTTTTTGCTTGACCTATCCATTTCCAACGACACCATTCCATTCATATCTCCCATGATTATAATTTTTTGATCCATAAATTCAAACAGTTTTTCTTCCAAATCTTTATAAAATACCATTTTACTGCCATTTGGGGCATAAATTCTGACAATTATCATTTTTTCACCTTGCCAGTTGACTTGTACTGCGATGATTCTGTCTTCTTCATTTTTAAAGATTTGCTGAGCTTCTAATTTTTTACATACATCACCACTCCTCTCTTCTTACTTTTTTCTGATGAGACAAACACATTTCTTAATTTTTTGTTGATTAATACACTACTGTGTTTCCTGGCTACATGAGTCTCTTGTAAACAAATAATGTCCAAATTCTTTTGTAACAAAAACTGTCCAATTCTATTCCTTTTATTTTTTTTATCATTTATGCCATTAACATTCCAAATCCATAATTTCAATGCCATTTTGGCCTTCTTTGGTAAGTAAAACTGTTAAAGTTCTTAAACCTGTCCTCCTCCTCCTCCTTCTTCCTCTTCTTCTGATTTATTAATATCTACTCCCTCTGGCGTCACTGCTGCTGCTCTTCTCCCTTTCCCAATTCTTTGTATCTTCTCAGAAATTTGTATGTCTCATCCACATTTTTTAATTTAAATTTCTTTTCTTTGTAATAAAATGAAACTCCTTCTGGAAATTCCCATTTAAATTCAATTCCATTTTTTCTCAAAATCTGAGTTAATGTCTTATATTGGTCGCGTTTTTTTAACAAGCGAAGTGGGACGTCTTTAAATATGATTGTGAATATTCCATCAATGCATAATCTTTTTTATCTGTTTTTCTGCAAAATCAAATTTCTCATTTTTCTATCCTTAAATATAATCAAACAATCTCCTGGGAATTTTTTTTGCCTTTGTTGTCTTCGTTTTAATCCTGAGTGCATTTTGTATTGTTTTTGCCACATCTTCTACCTCCATATTTAGCCAATGCCTGTATTCATTGAGAATTGTAAGGTATTAAGCAGGGATGAGGAACCCGAAACATCTAGATCCGGGGTAGGCAACCTAAGGCCCGTGGGCCGGGTGCGGCCCAATCGCCTTCTCAATCCGGCCCACGGGAATCAGTGTGTTTTTACATGAGTAGAATGTGTCCTTTTATTTAAAATGCATCTCTGGGTTATTTGTGGGGCCTGCCTATTATTTTTACATGAGTAGAATGTGTGCTTTTATTTAAAATACATTTCTGGGTTATTTGTGGGGCATAGGAATTCGTTCTTTTTTCTTCCAAAATATAGTCTGGCCCCCCACGTGGTCTGAGGGACGGTGGACCACCCCACGGCTGGAAAAGGTTGCTGACCCCTGTTTTAGATGTTATTGGATTACAACTCCCACTATCCCTGACCACTGACCTTGCTGCCTGTGGCTGATGGGAAAAGGAGTCCTACAACATCTGGAGGGTGACAAGTTCCGTATCTTAGGTGTAAAACCATCCCTGTTCCAAAACTTCCCATTTGAATCCTGATTTCATTCTCTTAGCTCAAGCACTGTGTGTGTGATGGAGCAATACAATCAAACAATTGCCCTGGAGTTTGTGTTTCTGGGATTTTCCAAAGATCAAGACACCAACCTTTACCTCTTTGTAGCGGTCCTTTTCATGTACCTCATCACCCTGACAGGTAACACACTCATCATCGTGGCCATCCACATAGACCCACGGCTCAGCACACCCATGTACTTCTTCCTGAGCTATCTGTCCTTCCTGGACATCTGCTACACAACAAGTGTGGTGCCTCAGTTGTTAATCCATTTCCTGACCAGCTACAAGACCATCTCCTACAACAGGTGCATGGCTCAGCTCTATCTCTCATTCGCCTTCGGAAGCATTGAATTTATCCTCTTGGCAGCCATGGCTTATGACCGATATGTGGCTGTCTGTCATCCGTTGCATTACAAGGTCATCATGAGCAGGACAGTGTGTATGCAGTTGGTGCTAGCATCCTGGACAGCCGGATTTCTCAATGCTCTCCTGCATACGGTGTTCACTGTGCGCCTTCACTTCTGCAGCTCCAACATCATCAATCACTTTGCCTGTGAAGTCCTGGCTGTTATCAAGATTGCTTGTTCAGACACTTCCGTCAATGAGATTCTGTTTCTGGTGACAGGGTCCATTGTGCTGGTGATCCCCTGTATTGTGGTCACACTTTCCTACGTCTATATAATCCGTGCTATCCTACGTATCCAGTCTTCAGGAGGTCGTCAGAGAGCCTTCTCCACATGTACCTCTCACCTGACCGTAGTCGCCCTCTGCTATGGCACAGCAATCTTTGCTTACATGAGCCCCAGATCCAACACTTCGCCCAACCAGGACAAGATGCTGGCTTTCTTCTATGCAGTCGTTACTCCGATGCTCAACCCTATAATCTACAGCCTACGGAACAAGGAAGTCAAAGGAGCCCTGGCTAAAGCAAGAGGGGAAAATATCGTTTCTGTAAGGCATTGATCCATTTGTGAATTTGTATACATCCAGTAAGGTGGCAGAGCAGATGGAGACATGCAGTTTGCTTAATCACTTAATTATTCCACACAATGGACTTGTATAGAAACTGATTCTAGGAGGAAACATTGTTTTGATACAAGATGAACATTTAAGACTGCCAAAAAAGAAACAAAAGCATTGAGGAAGTAATGGGCATGAAAACAAGTCGCTAAAAGTGATGAATGATCCTCCCACCTCAAAACAATTCACTTGCAACCCCAAGAGGAGTGGTTTGGAGTTTGATTTTTCCCCATTTAGAGGATTATCAGGTTAATCCAAATTTGCAGGGGAAACACATTGAGGTTGGTGCTGTTTCCGTGTAACATTTTATGGACTAGGTAAGCTAAAGGGGAATGCAAACAATAAATACACCCCAAGGTATCTTATCGATATCTCCTCTTTGCCATCTCTCTCACAGGCTCTTGCTACCTATCCTAACTCCTTCATCGGACACCTCTCGATTCCATACTTTTAAGTCATCAACAAGGAACGTCACAAAGGAGGCATTCCATTGTTACCTTGACCACCTACCTACCTGGACACAGGCCATTTCTCCTATTGAGTCAAGATTCTAGACTGCTTACTCCAAGTCCTCTGCTGTGTTGCCAAAAGGTTTTCTAATTCCCCCTGCCTGCCCTCTCAAATGTGGCCATTTATATATATTAAAGTCAAGAAGACAGTCATGGAAAATCATGGTGAACAGATGTTGGCTTAAGGAGATGGTTGACTTTAAGATTTAAAAAAAAATAAATTCAGAGGAAGAGCGTCCGAAACGAGGTGGTGGAGCATCCCTACAGTAAGAAGCCACAAAGGGAAAGGGAGATAGGCTGGGAATAGAGATGGTAGCCTTATGCTGAACTAGAAGCTTGATACCTATAGAATATTTTGGATATTAACAAATCCAAAATAACTGTTGTGAATGGACTCAGTCCATTCACACATATTGTTAGCAGCAAAGCAGCTGCTTTTTCTCCCACGAGAGATGAGGTGTTGCTGAAGTAGGCATTTGAGAGTACTGAAACCACAAGCCAATATTGGAAGTGCAAAGGTGCATTGGAATCTCCAGTGTGTGCTAAAGAGCGGTGGAGCGAATATACCCATAAGCTACCCTCTTTTGCACTGGGTGGGGAATATATGAGAGAAATACAGCAAATTGTCAAGAGGCAAATCTCACAGAGTTGAATGGGACTTACTCCCAAGTAGGTGTGCTGCACCAACACTGACAAGAACCACTTCTCAGTCATGTCACCCATCCTGACACCAAAATATAGCTTCTTTGTTTGCTGTATGGTTAACTGAGGTGACGTTATTTTGAGAAGAGAATCGCAGCAGCTGCCATTTGTTTTTCACACAAAGCCGCTTTCTGAGGTGGTTTTTCGAATTTTGAGAAACTCAAAATGGCTGCCTCCTTTGCCACTCACCGGGGACCACCGTTGTAGTGGGCTGCAAATGAATATGTACAGAAAACCACACACCTTTACTGAGTGGGCCAACTGTGCCTCTAAGCACTGTCCTTTTCTCCGAGAGATGCAATGTTAAATATCCCTCCAAAGAAAAGACAGGTTGAATCAGACATGTGAAAAATATAAAATCACAGTGTTCTGTTCCACATAACCCTATTTTTAAACTTGAAGTATAAAAACAACAAGAACATTTTACACATTTGGATTTCTTCTCGTTTCATAGTAGAATGTCTTGCAAACCCCCTCAATGTTTTTTTTATTTCACAGCAGATAAAGAGGTTTAAAAGGCAACCCATGCCATTCTTTGGGGTGGAGGAATGAACAATGTAAGCATATTCATTTCTCATCAGAAACTTAGGAGACCCAACAAGCTCAATAGGACTTAATCTCAAGTAAACACGCCAAAGAAACAAATTTGTGTGAGGGGCCATTTCTTTTCTTTTCTTGATAAAAATTTTATTGCAAAGTAAATACATTAATACCAAGCCACACATAAAGAATACTATAAAGAGAAAGAAAAAAATAAAGAAGAAAAGGGGGGAAGCAAAGAAGACAGTAAAAGAAAGAAAAGTATAATATTTCAATACAATAAACACTATTTTACAAAATAATAATAGTAATAGACTTCCATCACTCTCACAAAACTTCCTTTCACATTTCATATTTTATCTGTATTTCAGTATTATTTTCATCTTAATATATAGATATGTATATATGTATATTTCCCCTTTTCCATTCACGAGGTCATTCTAGACACAGCCAAATTTTTACATTAGAACCTTGTCTTTCTAAATAATCATTCAAGCACTTCCATTCCTTCTTGACTGCATTCATTGGCTTTAGTCTTATTACATCCGTCAATTTGGCCAGTTCCAAATATTCACATAATTTACATAACCATTCCTCTTTGGTCGGTACCAGGAACCAGCTGAGGGGCCATTTCACCAACTCATCTCTCCTTAAATTACCGGCTCAATTTCATAATTGGTTGGTGGATTCACTGTTTCTTGCCACATCTAAGGCTGTGTACACATAACTAGGTTGTCCTGATTCCTCTGTTTGAATCCATGCAGGTTTGGCAGAAAACACATCAAAATGTGATTATTTCCTAGGAAACCACGTATGGACTGTAACTAATGTTGTGTACACTGCTCCCAAGCCAGCGATGGAACCACACCTGTTGCGGAGCAAACAGGAACGCGTACACAGCCCTAGTGTAGGATTGCAGCCTAAGTCATCTTAAAAATGTGCCCTTATGAGATTTTCAGGGGGATCTCGGTATCCCAGACCTGGAAAAAGGGAAACATCCTCTCAGAGAAAGGATAGTTGAAAGTATAGATAAGTTCCATGGAGTCGGCGTCATAAAAGGAGAGGATTTCAAAATCGTACTCCAGAAGTATCTTGATCCGTCGCGGGGATTTCCACAGTGGAAGGACAGTGGAAGGAGAGGTAGAGGCCATGTATTCTCCCTCAATCAGCTGCAGTGCCCAAAACCCCTCAGTAACTCTGATGCATTGGTACCATTTTCTCCCTGTGGGTTCCCGGACTGCCCCGATGGCCCATGCTTTGGCCTTGCCCACCTCTACCACCCATTCCATAGTCCCAGAGGTGATGCCTTCTGCTCCGAGGACACATGGCGAAAAATTGAAGCGCTCAGGGTTGTCAGGAAGAACCTGGGCCTGCCTGCCCAGGTATACACTTTTCCGATCTTCAGAAAGGATGAGGGTAGGGAAGGCTGTCTTGGGATCCAGTATGACTTCCACTAAAAACAGAGACGGAGAATAGTTTGCAAACAACCTTACCAGCTGAAGAAATGACTTTCTACTCTAGGGGTTGAGAACCTTTGGCCCTCCAGATGTTGCTGAACTACAACTACCATCATCCCTGGTCATTGGCTGTGCTTCCTGAGGCTGATGGGAGTTGTAGTTCAGCAATTCCCAGAGGACCAACTGTTCCCTATACCTGTTCTACTGCTTTAGTGGTAACAGTTTCCAGAGCACAGACATCTCAAGGTGAAGAACAACGTTTTAGGAACAGTGAATGTTATTTAACGGTACCTTTGCTAACCAGAAAAAAACATGTACCATTTTGCTTCCTAGGATAAGTTCTAAAAACTAAACAAAAAACAACTTTGTAGATTTGGGCATAATTTCAGGTTGAACCCAGGAAAGCCTTCCTTGAAATATTACAGGTATATTTTTATGATGTAATTATTATGATAATTACAAACTCATATTCATAACTATACCATTGCTGTTAAGAAGAAGAAAAAGGCCTTGATAATTATAATATGGTAAGTATAACTTAAAATTGCACATTATTTTCAAAATTACCATTCCAGAAGGCGTCTTCTTCTATTTGTTCCCGTAAACTAACCTTTATTTTGAGTCCCACAAAACTTGTCAGTGATACTGGACAGCAACCTTTCTTCCCGTTTTCTTTTTTCTTCCCTGGTCGAGGCCGCTGCTTTTGTAGGCTGCAGGAAAACTGTTGTTGTTGTTGTTTTTAAAAAAGGATGCTCTTGTTAAAAATAAGTAAATAAAAGAAGATTTCCCATCCCCTTTTTGCTCCTCTTACACTGCATGCGCAAGAACAGTGTCCCTTTGCGGAAGCCCCATCAATAAACTGATGCAAATAGGATCAGGGTCTGCATAGTATTGCAATAGTTAGGGCTCCTCCAGACTTTGCATCATTGATATAGGGCTTATGGAATAGAAATGTGCAGTATAAAGTCTGAGGCTGTTCTGTGGGCAGAGTTGCACCAATCATCGGAGGGTTGCAGTCACATAGAAATATCACAATAAGAAACTGCTGGAGACCCAATGTCACAGCTGGCATAGTCTTGGATCTGCCAGGGCCCCCAGCCCCCAGAAGCACATAACAAATATGGTGGTATGTAGATGCCCATTGGCTAAGCCTCCATATGTGCTTGGACTTTTTCACAAGGCTAGTACAGTTGTACCTTGGGTTAAGAACTTAATTTGTTCTCGAGGTCCGTTCTTAACCTGAAACTGTTCTTAACCTGAGGTTCCACTTTATCTAATGGGGCCTCCTGCTGCCACTGCATGATTTCTGTTCTCATCCTGAAGGAAAGTTCTTAACCCAAGGTACTATTTCTGGGTTAGTGGCGTCGGTAACCCGAGGTACCACTGTACAGCTTCCTGCATCAATATGGAGCAGGGAACAGCATGTAGCTGCCTTTTTAAAAGGGTGGGCCAGGCAGCCACTGCTACTCACTAAGCCCTAGTCAGCTGCACTGAGGTAGTGGCAGTCCCAGTGATGTCGCCATGGGCAAGGAAGGGAGAATCTCTGCTGCCAGGGAGGCAAGGGAATAAAAGTGAGTTTGAGGTATCAGGGAGCTCACCAGGCGTGGAGGACAAGGGCTCCACTGCAAGTATGAGGCCCTTCAAGGACTGTTGCAGGCCCTATACTGCTGCATTGGAGAGACAGGTTTTCATCTTAGAATCACAGAATCGTAGAGTTGGGAGGGACCCGCAGGGTCATCTAGTCCAACCCTCCTACAATGCAGGAATCTCAGCTAAAGAATCCATGACAGGATGGCCATCCATTGTTGCCCACCCAGGCACACAGCAGACCGAGCTAAGACCGTTTGGTGCTCACAACCACACTATACATTTAAAGCACACGGATTCCGCCCAAAGAATTATGGGAGCCATAGTTCGTAGCTCTGTGATGGTTGAACTGCAGTTCCCAGGATTCCATGGGCAAAGGCTATGGGCATTTCTCAAGCATGTTTGATACATGGATGAAGCGCAGGATTCATAGCAAATTGGACAAGAGACCTACGAAGCCTGGAATGGTGGGGCTCCTTTGTTTACTTACATGCTGGCATCTCTTGTTTGACTTTTGCCGACAGATCCTTTCTATTTATTCGGTCGAGGATGTTGACTGTCATCTGCAATGCTTTCGCCTCCTCGTAGGCCCTGACCATGAGCCGTGCTATTTCAGTGAGGTCAGCCTTCTCGATCTTACAGTGCCGGATCGGCTTGTAGCCTTGCTCCAGTGGGTAGTCTTCAAGGTGCATCTTAAATCTCTTGAATTCCTCCTCTGTGAGCTCGTCCAAGTAGTCCACCAATTTGCAGCAGACACTGTTGGACATCTTGGCCCCTCCCAGTCAAAGGTTTACGGAAGGAGGAAAAATGGTCTCTAGGAGAAGGAAGGGGAGTCAATTCTCTTCTGATTGGATTGAAGAAGCAAAGATGGGGCTGACCAGTTTCTGCAAAGTGTCATGAGCTGTGAGCTGAAGGATGCACAATAATTTTACAGAACGATTTCAGTTTCATAAAAGGAGACTCCTCAACCCAGTTATTATTATTATTATTATTATTATTATTATTATTATTATTATGCAACTTAATGACAAAATGGCAAACGGGGAAATCAAAAGCCATTGAAAAGAATGAAACAACAAACAATACCACATTCCTAAAATGCTCATCCAACAATATAGTAATAGGGACAAGTTTCTGGAAAAAAGCATAATGTCAAGGGGAACCAGTGGTTGCAAATATCAGTTAAAAAAAGGTAAAGGGACCCCTGACCATTAGGTCCGGTCGTGACCGACTCTGGGGTTGCGGCACTCATCTCGCTTTATTGGCCGAGGGAGGCGGCGTACAGCTTCTGGGTCATGTGGCCAGCATAACTAAGCTGCTTCTGGCAAACCAGAGCAGCGCACGGAAACGCCGTTTACCTTCCCGCCGGAGTGGTACCTATTTATCTACTTGCACTTTGACGTGCTTTCAAACTGCTAGGGTGGCAGGAGCAGGGACCGAGCAACGGGAGCTCACTCCATCGCGGGGATTCGAACTGCCGACCTTCTGATCGGCAAGCCCTAGGCTCTGTGGTTTAACCCACAGCGCCACCCGTGTCCCAAATATCAGTTAGGTAAAAGGTAAAGGTACCCCTGCCCGTACGGGCCAGTCTTGACAGACTCTAGGGTTGTGCGCTCATCTCACTCTATAGGCCGGGAGCCAGCGCTGTCCGCAGACACTTCCGGGTCACGTGGCCAGCGTGACAAGCTGCATCTGGCGAGCCAGCGCAGCACACAGAAACGCCGTTTACCTTCCCGCTAGTAAGCGGTCCCTATTTATCTACTTGCACCCGAGGGTGCTTTCGAACTGCTAGGTTGGCAGGCGCTGGGACCGAGCAACGGGAGCGCACCCCGCTGGGGGAATTCGAACCGCCGACCTGACAATCGGCAAGTCCTAGGCGCTGAGGTTTTACCCACAGTGCCACCCGCGTCCCTGCAAATATCAGTTACCTCCCTCTAAATAAAGGTGAGCCCAACCTCACCCCAAAATGAATGCTAAATATGTAGGAGTCACATAATAAAAATAGATTGGCCCCATTCTGCTGTTTTCCTTTTGTTACAAAACAAATATGCTCCATCTCCACACAGCTCTGTTGAAGTGATGTCCTGCCTTTTCATGCTCTGTGAGTATCAAATATACCACAGAGTACTCCATTATGTGTGCATATTGGGTACATTCAGGTCAAGTTCCAAAGTCTGTTTGACAAAAACTTAGAGGGGAAGCTGTGATAATTACAGCAAAAGCAAGAAAAGAACTTTGCAGCAACTATGTCTGTCCGTATTCAGGAGTAAATTATATTGAATTCAATGGAGTTTTTTCTCCCAGGTAAGCGCAACAAATTTATTTTCTAGTGCTGAAGTTGTGTTGTGGGTGCCTATCCCACTTCCACCTGACACAGGTATATATATTGCATATTATAAACAGTATATCACCCTGCTTCCATAGCCCTGGCTCAGGTTTGTTTATTATTCTGTAAACCCAGCCAAACCTGTTTGATCAGCGACGACGGGAGACATGTATGTACAGAACAAGAAGCAAGGCGCCTTTCAAGTCAACAGCCCAGGCTCAACATTTAATTTGAGGGAGGGTTCAGAGTTTGGGGGGAAACTCACCGTTCCTTCCTTGCTGCGGTTGTTCTCTTTGGCATGGCACAGCAAATGAAAGTGAAAGTTCCGGGGAAGGTAAAACTCAATTCTGCCCCCCTCCCAAAGTTGAAAGTGTCGTCATAGCTTGCTTGTGCCGCGCAGACTTTGAACACTGTGGCTTCCTTCAAAGTTTATAGCTAAAAAAAGGTTAGAAACCTTTCTCAAAAAAACGAGCTGCTCTGGCTCTATAGGAAAACAAGCATACATTAGATAGCCAGCTGCTTAAGAGGAAATAATCATTGAGTAACTTTAACAGGAGCTCCATCTGCAGAGATCAATAAGGGAAGCTTTTCATGGCCTGGGGGTTCGTCAGCTGTTAAAGTAATAGGAGCAGGGGTCTTATACATTTTTTGAAATCTAAACCACACATACACATATGCACATTCATTTTCTTGATGTTCTTCTTCTTTGCTGATTTTCAGTTTGGTAAGACTGTGATCCACTCTGCCAAAGAAATGAAACAGGAAAGTATCTGAATACTGGGAGCCAGGGCTGTTATTTTCTTAGCGCCCTGGTAAAGTGTGTTAGAAATTTAATTAACTTATGAAAAGAGCAGGGATCCTGGCAAAAGCTTTAGGGGTCCGTACCTGTTTCTTTGGTGCACCCCCCCCTCCCTTTGGTCTGTCATTTTCCGCCACTCTTCTCAATAGCTTGGGATTCGAAGGCTAAAGCTATCCAATTGTTGCATGCTGGGAATCCCAGTTCTCCTCCATTAAAGAAATCCCACCCTCATCCTTCTCCAGTTACAGGCTCCTTTCCTGTGCTTATGCTGCCCTCGTGTGGCCCCATTCCTGTTCACTGTAGGCATTGAGTCTCTTGTTCGGTATAGGAGCACAAGGGGATGGGGAGGCGTGGATGGGCTAGCCTTTTCCTCTCATTCCATTCCATGGTCTCAACAAAAATGCCAACTGCCTTTTGGAAAGGGAGGGAAGCTCCCATCCCAATGCAATAGCTTGGGGGGGGGAGGTGATTTTCAACAGGGCTATAGTATTGGGGGTGGAACAAGTTAAATCCCACTTCCCAGTGCACCACAGGCTCAACTAAACCATCCAGCAGCCGGGGTTTTTTTTTTAATGGGGGGAGTGGAGATTTATATTTCTTCATGTGACATCTTGTCATGTGTAGCATGGCCCATAAGTCTACACACTAACAATGAGCTCAGCTTTTTAGACTTAATGGGTATGAGTCAGCTAAAGTTGACCACTTTAAATTTCCATTGATTTTAGTGGTATTTAAGATTGGGTTTAATTCTGCCACTGGCATCCATACGAATTATGTGTTTCGCTCTGATGATTGTAGCTTGTTTAGCTTTGGTGCCTGTTGTAGACATGTGCTTCCTTTATAGGACCACGACACAGTGCATGCCAGTTTGCTAAAAAGTAAGTTTAGCAGGTAACCCAAAGTACTGTAGAGCTGGCAGCTAACAGATGCAAGCCTTTTCTGCAGTTATAAGTAAACTGGGGGTGGGATTTCCCAGGCAGTCACAGCCACAGCCTATGAATGTGAGGTCACAATGGATAGATGAGGTCACAAAGCCAGTCTCTGGTGACTGGTCATGTTGCCTATGGTGATTAATCAGGTTATCCCTGCATCCCATTGCTAAGGTGCAGTTGAGGTTGAAGGGATGAGGAGCAAGTTCACGTCACTCATTGTCTCTTGATGGCATTTCGGCACCAGGACATCTTCAGAGTACTCATTTTCTCAAGGTGCATAGTATTGCTGAATAACAAAGGATTCCTGTATATTTCACATTCATATTTTATCCCATGTCTCTTTAGGTCTGTATCTTGTGCTTTACTATAGAATTAGGCTATGTAACAGCTTTATATAGCACTGTTTAAAGCAGGAATAGGGAACATGTGGCTGCTACTATCATCATCAATAAGATTTATATGCCACTTAATATACAAAATACCTAAGTGGTTTACATAAAGCATAGTAAGGTAAGAAAAATAAAAATGTATGTTCAACATTTAAAACCAAAAATACAAAGAAATACATGAGTAAAAACAGAAAAGCTATCAATAAAGCATTCAGTTAAATACCAATAAATAATAGAACATGGTTAATCTGATGAGCCTGGGAATGCCATCTTAAATAGATGGGTCTTCAGGAAGTGTTTAAAGTTTGAAACGCTTTCTGCCTCATGAACTGTGCATGGAAGCGTGTTTGACCACTGGCTATGTTGACAATAGCTGGAGTGGCACAGGTTCCCCATCCCTGGTTTAAAAAATAAACCCAGCAACAGGATTTTGGAGGTTCTCAGACAAGGCATCTCAGTGGGACCCCTTAACCTGGAAGAAATGGGCATGTAATTCTCTACCACTGGCTGAGTTCTCCACATTTTATGGTAGATCATTGCAGCTATTCTGTAGCCGGACATTTTATTCAGGACAACCAGAATATCAGTTGGAGTAGCCCAGTATATTTATTTTGTTTCATAGTGTTAAATACAAATAAAAAGTACAAAAAAATTAAATAAGGGCTTAGAGCTCATCAGTTATTCCGGTGCCTTTTCATTCATTAGCCAGAAAACAATAGAAGGCAACAGCAATTTTATTTTTAGAGAGCAACTGGACAAAAGTCTATCTGGGTGCTTTCCAGGAAAAAGGACTAGAGACTTAGGTTTTTTTTATTTAAAAAAACAGCTGAACATTCAGGAGAGAGGCCAGGAATATTTCTGAGGAGCCACATCCTTGTTCCACCCACCCTTAAGGGTTGTGATAGTCATGATAGGCATGTAAGTGGTTCTGTTCAGGCAGCTGAGTCCTTGACGGGTGCCAGCACAAAGTGAAATAACCTGCAACCGCTGCAAACTATAGAAATCATTTTGGTTCAAGCTGAAGACAGTTGCCCCAGTCCAACAAGAGATCCTTACAGGTAAGCAGCCTTCTGCATGCCACTAATGTGCATTTTTAAACTGTTTTCACTCCACTCTTTGAGCTGAAAAAGGCTCCCAGAGCAGGTTTCAATTATCAGTAATGAGACTCATGTTCACCCATGACCCTCCAGCATTTTGAATAAAACATTTTTGCAAAAGGCTATTTGAAGAGCACAGATGGTTGTGTTTATGAGTGCACATGAGAAACGCCCAACAAATGGTACTTATTGTTCCTGTCTTAGCGCTTCTGTCCTTTCCTTACATAAACCAGGCCTAACTCAACTGATAGGTGGACAGGTTTTGCTTCGCAGCAAGTCTAGCAGCCCAGACTTCACTTAAGCTTTTGGCTTACTTACTTAAAACCATCTGAGTGGTTTTACTGAACTGTTCCTCAAAAGATAGTGCCATCTCCAGCATGGCGAGTTTGCTCTTCTCCTGCTGATGCACATGACTCCACCATATATATTTTATGGATGAGCCTCAGTGGCATGAGGATGCCTTGGCCCACAGGATCTTAAGATCCTTGTAAACCTATAATTCATCAGAAAACAGGACAACCTTTATCCCATACACCCCCTAATTCAATCTCCTTGTGAGCAAGGCTGAGCCAAAACTTGCTAGAAACTGTATGATCCTTCCTATGCCTCAGGCAACACCATGCTGAAGGCCGCAGGTTGACAGCTGTTGCAAATCTGCTGTAAAAGGTGTCTTTCAGATGAGTAGGAAGCATCCATCATACAAAACAGTATTTATTTACAGGTACAGATTATATGCGAATGGTGATAGGGAAGGCGGCGAGTGCCAACCGGCCAGCCAAACTGGAGGACCCCGAGTTCTGGCGCACAGCTTAGCCGCAGGGACCATCACACAGCCTGAAGCTGAGAGTGCACCAAACAGGGAAAGGTCAGTTTTGGCCCGCCCCAAAGTTACTCAAGGTCATTGAGGAGCTGCAGTTCAAAGACCTGCAGGTGTTCCTTGAGCCGTCGATGTGCCTCAGCGCTGTGCGGCCGCCGCTCGCGCTGAAGCTCGCAGATCCGAAGGCGGAGTCGCTGTTCTCGGCGCCGGCAGGCCTGGAGCTGCCGCTGCGCCTTCCCCAGAGCATCGAGGGCCGCCTCCGCTCGCCGCTTCCACAGCAAGGCACTGCCGACCTGGTAGCTGTGCTCGTTCTGGATGTAAGCCCCAGCTGGGGGAGGCAGGCGCAACATGTAGAGAGAGAGGGAAACGGGGTGGGATGAATCCCCCACAGGCTCCGGGAGGGCCGGAGAAGGAGAAGCTTCTTCCTGGCCAGTAGCAGCGGGTGACTGTTCTAGGGGAATGTCTGACAGGGTGGCCAGGCTCTCCGACGCCGGCCCCGGGAGGTCAGGCTGGCTTCGAGGCTCGCCGCTGGTGGGAGCAGCCCCAGGGCTTGGCAGCTCTTGTGCAGGGAAGCAGGAGATGTCCATACACAAAGGACTCGACTCCTCCTCCAGGCAAGGGCTGCAGCTGTAGGCAAGGAACAGAACCCTGGTCAGACAGGAACCGAGTGGGGAAGATCTGCCACACTTTTATGACAGGTGTAGTGACAAGCAGAGAAGGACAAAATTGGACACGTCCTTGTTCCAGACGCTTCCCAAATAACCCAAGCATGCCAGCATGGAGCAATAACTGAGGTCCAACTTCAACTGGAGGGCGGCAGCTTCCCTACCCCTGCAGTAAGACAGCAATCCTGTGTGCACACTTCCAAAGAAGCAAGCCCCACTAAACATAATTAACATTCATAGGATGGTACAGGAAGGGAGGGAAGACCTTCCACGGAGCATGGCAAGAGAAGCCAGAAGGGCAATACTCACCTCTGCTTCTGTTGACGTTTCGCGAGTTTCGAGTTGCCTAGCTTTGATTTTTGGCGCAGTTTGGTGTGAAGTTCAAATATTGTGGGAACAGCACCCTCTTTGAGCCGATGGTAGCCACTGCAAAAAGGAGCATCAACACTCATAAGCCATCTCTGGCTTCAGACAGGCAAGCATCCTTCTCTGGAAGGTCATCTGAACTATAGACCTTGCAGCAAGGCGTCTCTTTTTGGGGAGCTGCTGGGTTCTGAGAGGTGCTAGCTGCACCTGCGGTTAGCCAGTTATATTTCTGCATTGCAATGTTTTCCCTCTAGATCTCTGCACATGCAACTGCATGTGCGGAGTCCCAAATAAACAGAATGAGCTTTGTAAGTAACACATGCTGCTTAAATTCTGATTTCTCCCCACAAATCGCAATGGAGATAATCCAGCATGACCTCCACAATACAGCACTCCCACTTGCTTATACTCCTAAGAAGATATAAAATTGCTTTATAAGGAGTCGGACCATTATTGCCCACTACTATTTGCTCTCAGTGATACTTAAGTAGTATGTATTGGGAAAAGCCTCTTCCTGAGTCCTTAAGATCCTCACACACCTTCATTACTTTATCAAACTGATCTAACAGGTCTTGGTGACTTGGGTATGTATAGGTTTATCTACATCTACACAACATCTACACATTGGATTCTGCCCTCACCCCCCAAAAAAGTATTTAAATTGAAAGCTGGTCACCCTGAATAAACCACAGAGCGGGTCTTCCACGACAGCTTTCTGGCCTTCAACAATTGTTCCCCCCACCCCACCGGCCTTCAAGTCATTTCTAGCTCCCTTCTCCACCCCCTCTGCAAGCAGCACCTTTGCCAATGTCAAATGTATAATCTAAGACATTGTCCAATTGTGACCATATCCACCTGTTTTAATTCTGCTTAACTGTTGAGGCCCTTTCATATTCCAGTGACCTACCTGGTGCCCACCAGTTCGAAGCAACTCTTCTCAAAGTGCTTGGAGCAAAAGTAAACATACTTGGAGGCAGGGTCCCAAAGACCCTGGCCGCTCATGTCCTTCCTCCGACAATTCTCCAACCACATCGCTCGCCGGGGGTTGTCCTTTGGAAGTCTAGGAGCACACACAGGAGGTGAGTCAGGCAAGGATGAGTAGCAGAGTGCAGCAAAACAATGGAGGCCTTCTTCCCAGGCACAAGGACATTTGTCTGAAAATGTCATCCCAGGAGCTTCCCTGTCATGTGGACTTATGTGCATCATAGAGCAAAAGTATGATTTGATTGCATGGAATAACAATTGCTCTGAGTGAGTTGCTTAATGTCAAACTGAGTCTGACTGATCCCTTGGGACTCCAGATCCTTGGCTAACATAAGAGTCTTTCCCAGGCTGGAAAAAGAACTACAGCATCATTCTAGCCCTTTAACGCTAGGAGACACTACAAGGATATCTGAATTACTATTTCCAGAGATTATGGCTGTTCCGCCAACAGTATCACTGCGGTGCAAAAGGAAAGTAAGTGTAGCTAGGTAAAATATTCCATAGTTTTTGGTGAAGCCACCCTGCAACTTGCCCTTCCTATTCACATTTCATGCCAACAAACCCCTATCTTGAACACCTTTTTTTGGTGAGGGAGAGGGCAGGACATGATTGTTACTTTAAAAAAGAAGTATGCATATTACAGCTTCTGTTTGTGCGAAATCTGCTTAAGGTACCATAAAAAGGCACTGTGAACTTCAGAAATGATAACAGGGAAATACAGTGGTACCTTGGTTCTCAAACACCTTGGTACTCAAACACCGAAAACCCTGAAGTTAGTGTTCCGATTTTTGAATATTTTTCGGAAGCTGAACGTCTGGTGCGGCTATCGGCTATTGTTTCTGGGGCACCTGCACCAATCAGAAATTGCGCCTTGGTTTTTGAACATTTCGGAAGTCAAACAGACTTCCGGAATGGATAAAATTTGGCGCTTTTGTTATTGCTATGTATTTTGCATTTTTGTTTTTTAGGCTTTTTCAGTTAATTTGCTTTTGTTACTGTGTGGAACCCAGTTCAGCTACTGACTGATTGACTGTGTGACTGCGGAAGTGGATAAAAGCCCCCCATCCAAACAATGACTATCATCAGTGCAGGTAAGAAAAAAAACTAATTTTAATTTTTATCATCTACAATACTGTCTTATTTATTTTATAGTATAGTACGTTGATTATTGCTTTCATTTTATGGATCAATGATCTTGTTAGATAGTAAAATTCATGTTAAATTGCTGTTTTAGGGGTTGTTTTTAAAAGTCTGGAACAGATTACTCTGTTTTGCACTACTTTTTATGGGAAAGCACGCCTTGGTTTTGGAACGGACTTCCGGAACGGATTAAGTTTGAGAACCAAGGTACCACTGTAATGGAAAGATCCTCAACTAGTCAAAGGAGTGACAGCAGGAATCTGGTAGGTTTTCTTAGCCTTTCCTCTGCCTTGTGACAGCTCTAACTTTGGATCAATGGCTACACACACACACACTTTATTTTCTGCCATGAGCTCCTCAAGGAAGGGTGGGACAGAAATATAAGAAGAAATACTAATATCCCCAGGGGACGCGGGTGGCGCTGTGGGTTAAACCACTGAGCCTAGGGCTTGCCGATCAGAAGGTCAGCGGTTTGAATCCCCGCGACGGAGTGAGCTCCCATTGCTTGGTCCCTGCTCCTGCCAACCTAGCAGTTCGAAAGCACGTCAAAGTGCAAGTAGATAAATAGGTATCGTTCTGGCGGGAAGGTAAACGGCGTTTCCGTGTGCTGCTCTGGTTCGCCAGAAGCGGCTTAGTCATGCTGGCCACATGACTCGGAAGCTGTCTGCGGACAAATGCCAGCTCCCTTGGCCAATAAAGCAAGATCAGCGCCGCAACCCCAGAGTCGGTCACGACTGGACCTAATGGTCAGGGGTCCCTTTACCTTTACTAATATCCCCAACGTGATATTCCTGCAGACTAGTACCAGCCAGCCCTCAATTCAAAATGGGCACCATTTTAAAAGGGAGATTGGGTGGGCCCAGAATAGCATCAACTCTCACCGATGGAAGGAAATGCCTCGGTTGCGTGTCTCAGGAGTGTCACGGGTGCAGCAGCCAGTGGCAGAACAGTGGCGGGGCATCTATAAGAAAAAAGAGAAACTTTAAAACCCACACTATCCTGAAGACTCAGGGTAAGCTATAGAAGCTATTATATTTGTATTTTAAGAGGAAGGGACATGCTGGGTATTCAGAAGCCCCAAGAGCTGACTAAGTGTGCTAAGAAAGTCCCAAAGTTCTGCAACAAGTTATCATAATTCGTTGCCAAAAGCATCTGAATTCTATAAGCTGTATAAATTATTCTAATCAGCACAATTTATTCGCATAATCTGCTAGTTTTTGTTTTTTAAGCAGAGGTTAAGACAAGGAGCTATATAGGGAAGCGAAGTCCCACCCCACAATATACCGTAACTACTGGAAATCATCTTCATCCACCCACCTGGTTTATGAGATTTCACCAGCATTGCAGACAAAACTTAAAGCCCACCTTCACAAGACATCTAAGATTCTGAAGAAGCAGGATCCCTTGCACAGGAACACAGTAAGTTTTTCAGTCTGGCATGGAATACACACAAGCTGACTCTCAAGTCATGCAGGTTCTTCCTTTTGTTATACTTGATGAGCACCTACTCTCTGTTTGCATCTGTTTCATTATTTTTCAAGGTATCAGAAATAACGAGGGGGAGAAAAAAAGAAAAGCCTCCTCATATTTTCTGGGCCTCTGTATCTCTCATTGTAGAACAGCAGAAACAGCAAGGCAGCACATAACATCCTTATAACACTAAAGCAATATCCCAGAAACCATTTAAGTAAATGCACTTAGGGTTTGGACAGCTCTAAAGGCAGAGCAACCATCTTCAGGAATTGGCATAAGGCTGTGCAAGCCATGTATCCTTTGGAAGAAGATTACTGAAGCTCTCGTCAGAGATTACTGAATCTCTTGTCAGGGTTTGGGGTTGTGGGGGGTGACAATCAAAGCATCAAACCAAAATGCTCAAAAACCAAACTGGGAATCTGAAGCGAAGAGAAAACTACTTGTGCAAAACAATATAACATTATGAGTGCTGAGGGGGAAAGGATACTAGAACAGGGTCACCCAATAAAACTGATTTGGCAGTAGGCCAAGGACAGAGAAATGAACGTGCTTCTGCACACAGCAGATTAATGCAGTGAATTCAATACCCAGATGTGATAACTTAGTACTTAAAAAAGAAAAGAGCATTGAACATGTTCATGGAGAAGACCATCAACTGCTATAAGTGGATATTATTCTTCCACAGCCTCTTACATCCATATTTGGATGTACACCTCTTCCAAGTTCTCTCCAGCATTCTCTGTTGTTTGCTTCCTGCTGTTAGTTTTAGATTGTCCACCCATTGTATATGTGGCCATACCCTTCGACTTTTGAAACTGAAGGCTTCCAGTTACCAGATATTGACACAAAGCAACAGGGAATGAGAGTTGCTCTCATCCACTGCTGGGAAGCATGGGGCATTCCAGAGGATCTACTTGGCCAATGATGCATCAGTATGCTGGCCTAAATAGATCCAATGTAACATGGTAGCTGAAGTATAAGCTCTCAGAGATCCAGTTTTTGGCTTAGGCATTATTTTCATTTGCACGGCATTTCATTTTATGATGCTAGGGCTGAATTTTCTTCCCTCGCAGCCAAGTTGGCTCACATTTGGATGTTGCAGATATCACTTAGGTTGCACTAGAGGCAAGATGGTACCCAACAACAACGGAATCCAGACAAGGATACAAATAGGAATACGGAGAGCAGAAGCTGATGCTGAGAAAATACAGCGGTACGCGATAGGACTGAGAAAACACTGCTCTTAAGTGAAACAGAGAGAGGCCTAGACAGAAGGTTTCATACATCTCACAGCCATTCAGCTCATTCAGCTGCTGATCTCCTAAGGGGTTATTTATTTTTAAAACCTGTATCCCATCCATCCCCCTGGGGGTTCATGCCTCCGGCACTCTTCCACTTTCGCCACTCACTTCAACCCTCACAAACAACACAGTGAGGTGGGTGGCTAGTTCAAGGTCACCCTAACCAGCTTCAGAGCCAAATAGTGGAGGAATGAAGCCAGGATTCCCACCCCACACAACTCCCCACACACACACCCCAAGGTCCTAGTCTGACCCTTTTAATACCACCCCACAGGCAGCTGAAAACAGACTGGCGACGCCCTTACATTCACACGCTTTCACCCACCCGACCGTGGAAGTCCTAACGTGCATCAGTAATTGGGGGCCAGCGGAGGGCAAGGAAAGGCATGGAGGGTTTGGGAGGTGTGGGTTTTTTTGCCAATTACGCCCATTATTCCGGGTTAGCTAATCTGGAATGAAATGGGAAGAACGTTTGAGTGACAGGAACTGAGGACCATCCCAAAGGGACGGGGGAGGGAATGTCATGAGCCGCCTCCTGCCCCCCCCCCCCGCAAGGAAAGGGACATTCCAGAATTTGAAATGTGCAGAGCAAAAGGGGCGGGGCCACAGCAGGTCTCCATCTCTCTCTCCCCCCCTCCCCCACCGGGAAAGGAGGAAAAGCGGCCAAAATGCCCCTCCTCCCCCTGCCCACCGCCGAGAACGGAGACGCAGAGGAAAGGCTCGGGGCGGAGAAGTCGGGTGAGCGGGTTACTAATTTTTATTTTATTGGTTTCTCTCCTCACCTCCCCACTCCCATTGCTCGGGGCACCGCCGTCGCGGCTTCGAAGCTGACAGGGGGAATCTCAGCACCTTCTCGCGAGAATAGGTGCGCGAGCAAGCGAGGACCTAGAGATAGGAAAAAGTGAAGAGAGCCCCCTCGGCGCCGGCCATTTCCGCTCTCGAATCCCATTCGCTCAGGCGTTCAGAATGCAAGGATTGCTTCCCCCGTAGAGCAAAGAGCCAACGCAAGAGATCACAACGCTTTTATGAAAAGCATTTTAGTCTGCAATCCTAGACGTCTTTGCCCGAGGGTAGGAAAACCTAGGGGGTTGCGTCTTGTGTATTACAGGAAGTTCAGGCTGCGCGCTTTTCTCACCTTTTCCTATCTCTAGGGAGCGAGATTGCAGCTCCTACGTATCACCCCCCCCCCGCCTGACCAATCCCCCTCTCGCCATTCTAGGCGCTTGGGTTGCTTCCGGGCAGCCTGGCGCAACGTAACCTCCCGCCTCCCTCCTCCCAACCCCACCCTCAGTCATTACAGCCAATCAAAGGCCGCCCCCTTCAGATCAAATGCGGGTTCTAAAAGAAAAAAAAGAGCATAACGGATTGCGTGCGCATGAAAAGGCGGGTACCGTCGCCCCGTGGGCCAATCACAAGCGCGCCAAAGCACCCCGGCAGGAGGCGCGCGAGCCTGGGGGCCAACTGTCAGTGGGCCGGTTTGCTTTTAAAGCGGTTCTGTCCATTTAGACAAGGCAGCCTTTGCCCAAAAGTTCACAAGCTGATAGACATGACACCAAAAGAGGGGAAGGGAGAAAGAAGCAGACTCGAGTGACAGTTATTAAAGTTAGAGAGCAAATTCCTATCTACCAATTTAGCATGGGTCCCTCTACCTGTGGAATATGCAGAAATGGCGAAAATTACCGCGAGAATAAGAAATCAAGATAACAGACTTTTTATAAAAGAGTAGAAATTATTGAATATTTACAGATAAATTGCAAACAGATAAAAACATTAGCAGGATTATTGTAATAACCTGCAGTTTCATAAGAGTATATATTTAAAGTAGATAATTAAATGGGCAAATTAAATGAATTTGGATATGCAGAAGATATTAAAACATAAATTTCAGGAACTGCAGAAAGAGGGGAAAGGAAGTCAAACTTCGAAATGTTAAATTGATTGTAAAACTAATGAAATGTATAAGCTTGAAAAGTATAAATAAAAACTTTTTTTAAAAAAAAAAAAGCGACTCCTACCTATCCAGAAGGTCCCTATCCCTGCTCTTGCATTCCCTCCCTTTAAGCTATGTAAAGGGCCACAGACAAGAATATTGTTATGGGTACATGGGCTTCTTGGCCATGTTCAGATTTTTTACTGCAGTTTTTGCTAGGGGAAAATATGTTTGGAACTGAACAAATATGCCCTGCTTTCTTCAGAATTTATGGTTGGGGTATTACAGTTTCAGTGGTGTACAAACTTATTATCTTGAGCATTGCCTCTTTTAACGGGCCTCTTTCAATCGGACTTGAGGTGTGTTGAGTCAGTCTGTGATTAAAAATGAAAAGCTCTGCATTGTCAGCTTCAACAAATTCTGAACTTCCAGAAGTTAAACAGTGGTGAGATAAAAATATTCTCGTGTAACCCATCTCAATACAATGGTACCTCTGGTTGCGAACGGGATCTGTTCCGGAGGCCCATTCGCAACCTGAAAAGAACGCAACCCACACCTGCGCGTGCACGGGTCACGATTTGCCGCTTCTGCACATTCGTGTGATGTCATTTTGCGTGTCTGTGCATGCGCAAGCGGCGAAACCCAGAAGTAACCCTCTCCGGTACTTCTGGGTTGCCACGGGACGCAACCTGAAAACGCGCAACCTGAAGCAAACGTAACATGAGGTATGACTGTATATGGAGAAGGAACCAGGGATACCATCTTGTCCTCAGGATTGAGGGTGCCTACCACTGCAACGCGGATGTGCGACATCACACGCATATGTACAGGCGTGTGTGTCATCGCACATCCACATGGTGATCTCTCTTCCTCCTCTCTGCAGGCAGGATCCAACACCCCCACCCCCCACCCCGGGAAAGGATGCCTTGCTGGCTGGCTGGCTGCAGAGGATGGAGCTGAACTCTCTCAGAGGCAGTGCCACTGACGCTGCCGGGTTTTCTCATTGACTTTGTGGGTGCCCAGCCCCCACAATTATATTATTGTGCCTTCCTGGAGTTGGCTGCTATGGAAGGAACTTTTGGGTTTACTGCTACTAACTGCCCTTTTGGTAAAAATGCAGAATTTCTTCAGTTTTAAAAATATCAGCTTCCACTTCCTTCCCAGGAAAGAGGAGTACAGTGGTACCTCGCAAGACGAATGCCTCGCAAGACAAAAAACTCGCTAGACGAAAGGCTTTTTTGTTTTTTGAGCTGCTTCGCAAGACGATTTTCCCTATGGGCTTGCTTCGCAAGACGGAAACGTCTTGCAAGTTTGTTTCCTTTTCTTAACACCGTTAATACAGTTGCGACTTGACTTCGAGGAGCAACTCATAGAACGCGGTGTGGTAGCCTTTTTTGAGGTTTTTAAAGACTTTCTTTGGTGATTTTTGAAGCTTTTCCAAAACTTTCCCGACACCGTGCTTCGCAAGACGAAAAAAATCGCAAGACGACAAAACTCGCGGAACGGATTAATTTCGTCTTGCGAGGCACCACTGTATTGAAAGAAACTAGACCAGAAGGCCTGATCCCAGCAATTAAGTCTTTGAAAACATTTAAGATATGGGATGTGGCAGTGGACAGGGAAATATAGGGAGAGAAGAAAATGATTTCCTTGATCCTGGCAATCTAAATTATCCTAAACATGAAAATTGTGAAATTAGAATGCTCTCCTTCTCGCACTATACCATATTCAACTATATGATCATAAAGCAGTTTCAGCCTGGTGCCAATCCTGAGCCCTCCTCCTCCTCCTCTGATCACTCTTGGCAAGAAATATTGTCTTCCATGAACACAGTCTTAACAGTGAGTCCATAAGTGACTGGAGGCCAATTCTGGATCCACAAGTCCTTCCACTGTGGGGATGTAGGTTTTCTGGCAGGAGTTGATCATGGTGAGGGTTTGTCAAATGTGCGTTACTCTTGCTGTTTCTCCTTTTGCCCTGAGCTCGTGCTTATTCTAAGTCCATGACACGCTTGGTAAAGGATGTTCTCTAGTTGGAGATGAAGATAATCAGTAGAGTTGGGGCGATAACACATCCCTGTTTAATGTCTGATCCCACTGTGAATGGTTGACTTTGAGAACCATTGTTATCCGTGATTGTTGCTGTCATGTTATCGTGGAGGAGCCAAAGGATATTCACAAATTTATCTGGGCAGCTGTTTTTCAGAAGGATAGTCCGCAGGGCAGTACAATTTACAGTATCAAAGGCCTTAGTCAGGTAGAAAAACACCATTTAGAGGGGGTTGATTTTGTTCTCTGCATTTTTCTTGAAGCTGTCAAGCAGGGAAATTGATATCCACTGTCCCCTAAAACGTCGAAAACCATTTTGGGATTCAGGAAGTGTGTCCTCAGATAAAGGTAGGAGACAGTTTGCTAAGATCCTTACAATAATTTTGCTGGCTGTGGCTAAGAAAGAGATGCTTCAATAATTTCCACAATCTGTTCTATAACCTTTTTAAAAAAGATTGATAATTTTGGCATCTCTAAAGTCTCCTGGCATCTCTCTCCCAGATTTTTTTGATGAGCTTTTGAAGTTGTTGGGTAAACTCAATTCTGCCCACTTTGAAGACTTTGGCAGGTATCCCATCAGGTCTGCTGGCTGTGTGGTTTTTCATTTGGTGAATAGCTGTACACAAATCTCCAGATCTGGAGATACAGCAAGTTTTGGAGATACATGCAACACTAGCATGTTGGGGTAAGATTTGAGGTAGATGGGAAAGGTGGAATGAGTTTCCTCTCCTACCCTTAAAGACCACCACGTTTCCTGTTCCAGGGCAGCTGTTATCTTGAACATTATCACTCTTTTTAGAAGGAAAGGTGTATTGCAGTATTTTGAGCAAAAAACAAGATGGACTCAAAAACCTGTGCATCAGAACTTGAAAGATGAAGAAAAAGGTGACCAGCAGATTTAGACTTGAAAGATTAGCAAAATGATGACATACGGGTCAGAACTCCAAAAAAAGAACGAAAAAATAACCTGTGGGTGAGGACACCAAAGCAAATTTTTTTTTAAAAAAAATGACAATTTTGGTGATATTCTAAAGTATTTGGCTATCCTTTGTTCCTGAGTACCAAATGGCTGTGGAGATCTTCTCCACTGTGGCTTCCAGTACTGGCTTACTAGGTTACATGTTTGTTTGCAAATGCTACATTATTGTGTGAGATCTACTGTAAATCCAGTCAATCAATAAATATTCTAAAGTATTGTAGAGTCTGCAATTTCTGCCATAATATTCTTCTCTATTGAGGTGGTGAGTAAATGGACATAACTTACAAATTAGCATGGATCATCATTGTCACTTTCTTCACTTCTATCAACAAATCAGAGGACATTTGTGTGATATATTACCCAAAATAAAAGATAATGGATTAAAAAATGTTAGTTGAGTGAATCTCTCCAGGTACTCCAGTAATATATTTTGGCAGGGACATTTAGACTTCCAGTTTTGGCTCTCCATTTGATTTATCCTACCCCAAGTTCATGTGTCACATTAGCAGACACTGGTATTTCCCCCTCATTCATCTGCAAGGCACAAAAATGCCAGGATATCATGTGACTATTTAGTGGTACCTAACATCTGGCAGACAAATATAGAAAAACCCTGCTACAGCAAGCTAACTTCAGAATTGTCGAATTGTTCCTTAATCCACCAACCCAACCAGCAGATCCTTTTCTTTTATTTTTTTGTAGAAAGAACTTACAAAGCTACCCAGTCCAAGTGTTTTGTTATTTCAACCTGTTAATAGTCTGATAAATCTCTTCCTTCAAAATATCTCTATTCATTTTGGTCTAATGTGTCCCACTTATACATTTTACATTAGATATGTCCTCACCTCAAGGTTTCATCAAGCTATTGAGTTTTAGTAATGATAAATTCCCAAATAGGGAATTTATTTTTGCATTATCATAAGTAACACTCCCATCTTTTTGTATCAGTGAATAGATTTTTTTAGACATCTGCTTCCCCTTTATCACATGTGCTAAACATTTGAATGCTCATATAATGATTCATATACTAGCATATAGGGAGAAATTTGATTCAATTCTCATTTAAAGATGAAACTTCTCACCAGCGAAACAATATGTGAACCAAAACAGCCATCAATTGAAATCTGAAGTTCTCAAAATTTTGCAGTGCAGTTCAAGCAACTCTCATTGAAGGGTTGTGTGAAAGAAACATTCCTACAGGAAAGCTATCTGTGTTCTTTCCTTGACAGGAACCTAAGGGAGATGTTGTTTGTTCCTCTAAAGTTTTATTGAAGATGACATTAAGATATATTGAAATTATTCTATCCCCTGTGGCAAACTGTAAGTGTTCCTTAAAAGTTTTGGCCAAGAATGAGAATTGATTGGAATTAGGAGCATATATCCTATATGGTCCTGAAAACTGAATGTAAGATTAGAAAAAATTGAGAAATGGAGCAAAATCATAATGGAGAGATTCACCTATCCCTATCAGGCAGACATACTTCCACCCTGACTCAGTCCCAAGGCCCAGGATTTATACTTTTGTTTGTCCCATTACAGCATATTCTCTATATACTTCAGCTGTTCCACAACAACTACTTATTATGGTTAAGATATGACAAGTATTCCCCCCACCCCGTTCTTCCAACACACCTGCTGCTTCAGGTTGGATAACCGATCATTAACTCCCCTATAATTACTGTATCAATCTCAAGATGACTGAATGTGTTTTTCATGAGGCCCCAGTGCATTTCCAGAGACCACTACTAGATATCTAAATGCAAATGCAACCCCCACTGTCTCTGGCATTTCAAGTAAGAGAGGAAAGCCAGATTCTGTAAGTCTAATCTCAGATCTTTTCTTGATTTTGTAACCAAGCTCCCAGGAATTCATCTCTTGCTTAGGTAGCATGTAGTACCATTCAAGATAACCTGCTTTGTGACTGATCCGAAGACCAATGTTGTAAATGGAATACAGGGCTCTCTGTCTAGAAGGAAGATGAGCATGATATTTTTTGTGATGCTAGTGCTCTTGTTGCTTCCATGGATGATATGTAATGGGAAAATGATCAGTACATGCACCATCAGTGATCCATTCCATATTCCGCACAAGTATTATCAGCCAGGTGACCTGATCATTGGTGGACTTACTTCTCATCTCTTTCCTTCTCTTAACTGGGAAGACTTCAAGAAATACCACACCTTCCAGCAATTACTTAACGTATTGTAAGGACTTTTATTTGATGCTCATTAATATCCAGATCCTAACCCTGTTTACCGGTGTTTCCATGTGCTGCTCTGGTTTTGCCAGAAGCGGCTTAGTCATGCTGGCCACATGACCCTGAAAAACTGTCTGTGGAAACGGACAAACACCGGCTCCCTCAGCCTTTAAAGTGAGATGAGCACCGCAACCCCAGAGTCGTTCGCGACTGGGCTTAATTGTCGGGGGTCCCTTTACCTTTTAACCCTGTTTACACAGAAATGAAGACAAATACTCTTTAATGCAGTTTGAAGCAGAGACTGCTCTCATTTAAAGATGAACCTATGTTTTTAACAGTAATGAAACAATATGCAAACCAGAACCCAGCTATGCCTTGAACTTCAAACTTTTCCAAATTTTGCAGTGCAGTTCTCCAGTCAAGTAATGCATACTAGGGTAAAGTGTACATAACAATGTATATTTTAGTGAAATAACATTTAAAAATGCATTATATCTGCAGACATCACTTTGCAAAATGTTTACACTGGGCAGAACTGCATACAAAAATATGAATATTAGGAGAAATTTGCACTAAAATGCTGGTGGCCTTTTTTTTAAAATCACAAACTGATATCAGAATGTAAACTTAAGATTGGAAAAATGAGAAACAGAGAGAAATAAAAACTGACAGATCCACCCATATTTATATCTTTGCCTGCCAAAAATTGAGTATTGGTTTGAATCAGGAACATGTATCCTATATGCGATTGAAAACAGAATTTAAGATTGGGGGGGGGGGAGAGAAATGGAGAGAAACCCAAACAGACAGATTCACCCATCTCTATGTCACACAATGCCCAGCATACCTGGTAACTCAATATCAAGTAACTCTCATTGCAGGGTTGTGCCAAAGAACTACCAGAATATTCTGGCATTGGTATTTGCTGTCAAGGAGATCAATGAGAATCCTGAGATCTTGCCAAATGTCACCTTGGGATTTCACATCTACGATAGTTATTACATTGAAAGGATGACCTACCGGGCAACTCTGGAGCTTCTATTCACACAGCAGAAATTTGTTCCCAACTACAAGTGTGACACTCAGAAAAGTCTGTTGGCTGTCATTGGGGGACTTGATTTTGAAACCTCTCTCCATATGGCAGCCGTCCTGGGTGTTTACAAGACTCCACAGGTAAGATACAGGTAACTTCATGAGTCATTTGCATTTTCCTTTTCTACCCAGAAAAGTTTTCCGGTTCTGAGAGACAAAAATCACATCCACGCTATACAGTTAAAGCACTATTATTCCACCTTAACACTCAGAATCCTGAGAACTGTAGCTTGTTAAGCATGCTGAGACTTGTTAGGAGATCTGTTACAGAGCTACAATTCCAGCACTCTTAACAAATCTCCAGTAAACATTCTTGGTTACATGAAATATTTCACAAGCCACAAATCCACTATGCTAGGACCACACTCCACTCTTATAAAAGCTGAAGCTGATGACACTCTCAGGAATATCTTTGCATTCGAGATGCACAGATTTTGCAGTGATGCCATCAAATCAACTTGCTCCATCCTGGATACTTTGGCCTAGCAGGAGAAGTGAATCCCAATCGCAATTGCCCTTTCACTGCAGATGCATGTAGCAATTCCCTCTATTCCATTGACATAATATGCTTCCTTATTTATTTTTAGCTCAGTTATGGCTCCTTTGCTCCAGAAGACAGTGATCAAGTCCAGTCTACTCCTTTCTACCGGATGGTTCCAAACGAAGCCCATCAATACACTGGCATTGCTCAGTTGCTTCTGCACTTTGGATGGACGTGGGTTGGGTTTATCGCTATAGAGGGAGAGAGCGGGGAGAGATTTTTGCAGTCCATGCAACTTCTGCTTTCCCAGAGAGGCATCTGCTTTGCTTTCTCAGAGAGAACTCCAAAAAACACATATTGGAGAATTTTATTTTCTTTAAGTCTCAAGTGGCTCCAAATCTACAAAGTTATTGCAGAGAGCAAAGCCAGTGCTGTTGTTGTCTTTGGAGAAACCAAGTCCATGCTTTGTTTGCGAACAATGCTCATCATAGGTGAAATAACATATGGCGCAAATACACCAGTAGGAAAGGTGTGGATTATGACTGCTCAGCTGGAGTTTACAGAATTCTTCTACCAAATGACCTTAAGAATGGAAGCCTTCCACGGTTCCATCTCCTTCAGGGTTCATTCAAAAGAGGTTCAAGGATTCAGAACATTTCTTCAGCTCTTAAATCCTCTGGGGACCAATGAAGACATTTTTCTCAAGTTGTTCTGGGAACGAGCATTCAGATGTTCATTTCCAAGCTCTAAGACAAAGAAGCAGGTTTATAAAATCTGCACTGGAAAGGAGAAGCTTGAAGATCTCCCTTCATCTGGCTTTGAGACGAGCATGACTGGCCACAGCTACAGCATCTACAATGCAGTCTCTGTTGTAGCACATGCTTTACATGCCATTTTCCAAACCAGGTACAAACGCAGAACTATGGAAGACAAAGGGAGGTGGGTGCTTCCAAATCTGCAGCCTTGGCAGGTAATATCTTTCTTGAGACTCAGCTCTATTGATATAAGCAGAGGAATGACAACCCAGGGGCATATAGAACAGTGCCTTTATAGGAAGCTACCCTATACTAAATAAGATCTTTAAGAACATCATATTCAGTATTGTTCACACTTACTGTGACTTTCCTGCATTCCAGGAAAAAGTCACTTGCAGCCCTACCCAGAGATGCTTGGGTTTGGAGACTAGCACTTGTTTATTTTCTCATTCATCTTTCAACTGCCAACAAAAGCTTCAATCTGCCAAGTTCCCTCCCCTGGAAATAATTGTGTGTGGAAAAGATCTGAGAGATGTTCGAGTTTTAATCAATTGTTCCTGTCCTTCTGTTCCTCTTTCTACTCAGCTCCACCCCTTTCTTAGGAGTGTCTCATTTAACAACAGCGTGGGAGAAACAGTGTCTTTTGGTGAGAGTGTGGAATTGAAGAACGGATTCGATATTACCAATTTTGTCATTTTTCCAAATAACTCCTTCCTGAGAGTCAAGTTTGGGAAAATAGATTTGGAGGCTCCCACAGGCAAGGAATTTTCAGTTGATGATGGAAAAATGGTGTGGCACAGAAGCTTTAAGCAGGTGGGGCACAACTACGATTTCCAGGCTCTATAGGGAAATTGAATATTATTGCACCACTAATAAAACAGAGCAAATGGATAGCAGTCTTGGTGCACTTCTTGCATAACTCAAATCCTGAACCCGTAATTATGGAAGCCTAGAACACCATGTTTCCATATATGAAAATTATCCCTATGTATTAGTCTATAAATCTGTAAATTTAATGCTTATATTAAAAAAGCATAACACTGTTATAAGCCACTCTGCGTTCAACTGGCTGTGCATGCATACACGTGCAACATCACATGCCTCTATATCATAAAATGATTAGTAAGCATTAGGCTACAAATGATGTAAAATTAGTATTTTTATGAAACAGTACACAATTTTGCCGCTGCATTACTAAAAATCTGGGTTTTGTCCCATTGGCAACGGAGACCATCAGCAACTCTTAATCCTGTCTAAAACCTCATCATGTACAAGCTACTTTATATCCATACAGTATTTGATAGGAATGCAGCCAATGTATTCCAACCATTTAACTGCTTGAAATCAATCAGTCAATCAAACCTCAACCACCCAAAAAACCTGAAACAAGTTTCTCAAAAAAAAAACCACCCAGCACACCTTGAGTTTGCATCTGTTATTTTATTCTCGGTGATAAACTATCTGTGTGTTTATTCAAATGGACAGGTTCCACCCCTTTCTACATGTAACCCAAAATGCCCTCCTGGCTCCAGCAAGAAAAAGAAGGAGGGGGAGAAATTCTGCTGCTATGATTGTTCTCCATGCCCTCAAGGCAAGATTTCATCCCAGATGGGTAAGAGACAAGAAATACTTCAAAGAAAGTACACATTGTAACATACGTAAGGAGACGGTTTCAGCAAAAAATGAACCAATCATTGATGCCATTGTTCTTTCTATAATAGCTGAAACTCAGAAGCTTGAGGCTTTCAATGGCAATATTTGTATAAATTTTCATATCTTATTGGAGCAACACTCAGAAACCCAACTAGTATCTTTTTATGATATTCCTTCTGATTCTAAGTTAGAAGCCATCTTTCCCCACCCTAGTGATGTGATCTGCATGGGACTCCTACTTATGATCAATCAGAGGTTACCACTGATTTTGAATGGTGTTGGTCTCTTTTGGCAGCATTTCTACAGTTTATCTAAACTTTTTCAGAAATCGAAATTTCGCCCTCATTTTCTGGTGTGTTATGCAGCAGGAGATAACTGAGGATGGGTCCGTAAGATAACTTACACAGGAATGCATCCAGTGCATTTGGACAGGACTTACTAATATTATTATTAATTATTCAATGTATGAATCGCCTTTTAAGAAGATTTCTTAGGTGAATGAACAATTTAAAATAGCATATAGGAAATATAAAAGCATACAAATTCCATAGTTAACAAACAATAATGCAAGCTGGTGAGCACATAAAGCATACCCAACCTACAAGTGTCTTCTCCCACAACCATGACTTCATCACTACAAAATAATCTACACCTTCAACTCAATCCCAGGAACAATGACATCAACATTCAAATGCCTGGGGAAACAAAAATGTTTTTGCTTAGCACCGAAGTCATGTCAAAGTTGGCCCCAAGTGAATCTCTCTGGGGAGAGCATTCCATAAATGAGGGATACCATTGAAAAGCCCCTTTCCCCTGATGCCACCTTCCAAACCTCTTTCAGAGGAGACATAAGGAGGAGGGTCTCTGATGGGGACCTAAACATCTGGATAGCCTGATATGGGAGAGGGTGGGGTAATAGAAGAGAAGCTTGCAATCAAGCAGTTGATAGAACTCTGCCCTAAATGTATCTCCCACTTTATGATTAATGCATGGGAGATTGAATATATGTCTGAAGGAGCCACTCCACTATAAATGTTCTTAAATCTTCAAACATCATCGTCTCCGCAGCAATCTATACAACAGATGACTGCCCCTGTGAAGTTAGCATAACATAGGCAGACAACCCAGCAAATTACAGTGGTACCTCGGGTTAAGTACTTAATTCGTTCTGGAGGTCTGTTCTTAACCTGAAACTGTTCTTAACCTGAAGCATCACTTTAGCTAATGGTGCCTCCTGCTGCTGCCATGCCACTGGAGCACAATTTCTGTTCTCATCCTGAAGCAAAGTTCTTAACCTCAAGCACTGTTTCTAGGTTAGCGGAGTCTGTAACCTGAAGCGTATGTAACCTGAAGCGTATGTAACCTGAGGTACCACTGCATGTTGATTTCAGGTCCAAAGGTCATAGTGTATTTGTTCTGTCTAGGAATCCCTTTGGTACTCCAGTTTAATGTTAGGATGTCATAGGCAGTTTCTGTCCGGCACACCCAGAACCTGCATCTCTTCTTTTTCCAGACATGGACAATTGCGACAGATGTAGTGAAGATCGATATCCAGACAAAGGCCAATCACAATGCATTCCAAAGGCAATAATCTTCCTGTCTATAAAAGAGCATCTAGGGATGAGCTTGGCTTCCTTGGCTCTTTCTCTCTCTATGCTCACAGTGTTGGTTCTAGCCATCTTTATTAAAAACCAGGACACGCCAATCGTCAGAGCCAACAATCGGGATCTCACCTACGCTCTCCTCACTTCCCTCCTGCTCTGCTTTCTCTGCCCTTTGCTCTTCCTCAGCCCACCAGAAAGAGTGATCTGCCTTCTCCGACAAGTTGCTTTTGCTGTCATTTTCACAGTGACCGTTTCTTGTGTGCTGGCCAAAACCATCACCGTGGTTCTGGCCTTCATGGCCACTAAACCAGGATCCATAATGAGGAAATGGGTGGGGAAAAGACTGGCAGGCACCATTGTGTTTTCTTGTTCTCTTATCCAAGCAGGTATTTGCACTGTGTGGCTGATAACCTCTCCCTCATTCCCCCAGCTTGACATGCACTCCATGGTGGGAGAAATGATACTGGAATGTAATGAAGGGTCCGTCGCCATGTTTTACTGTGTTCTTGGTTACATGGGCTTCCTGGCTATGGTCAGCTTTGTTGTGGCGTTTTTAGCTAGGAAACTGCCAGACAGCTTTAATGAGACCAAATTTATAACCTTCAGCATGTTAGTGTTTTGTAGTGTCTGGATATCCTTTGTTCCAGTTTACTTGAGCACCAAAGGAAAATACATGGTGGCTGTGGAGATCTTCTCCATCTTGGCCTCTAGTTCTGGCTTGTTAGGTTCCATTTTTGCTCCCAAATGCTACATTATTGTGCTGAGACCCTATTTGAACAGTAAGGAGCAGTTAATAAAGAGGAAATTCTAACATATTCCAAGACCTGCAATTTCTGCCATCATGCTTTCCTCCAGTGAGATGTTAATACTGTTGATGTGGTGAACAAATGAACATGTCTTACAAATAAACATGGATGACCTTAGTCATTTTATTTACTTTCTCTCAACAAACAAATTAGGACAGTTGTGTGATATATTATTCAGTATTAAATATAATAGATTAAAAATGTTAGTTGAGTGAAACTTCAGTGTTCACCACTGTATGGAGTTCCAGTTTTGGTTTTTCATTTGATTTAGCCCACCCCAAGCTCATTTGTCACAATAGCAGGCATGGACATTTTCCATTCCTTTATTTCCATGGCATAAATATGCCAGAATATCAAGTGACTATATAGTGGTACCTACCACACGGTGGAGTATGCAAAGAATACCGCTATGGCAAGCTAAATATTCAGAGTTATTCTTTAATCCACAGCTCTACACTCTAGCGCCTTCCTGGGCTGCATAGCGCCTCTCCCACAATAATACATTGTTAAAGTGTCACTGCTCCACTCCAGCATTTAAATAGACACCAGAGGAACATCTTATTAAAACCTCTTACTGAAGAACAGAACAGGACCCATATATTTATGGGAAGGCTCCTAAGAGCTTATAGGCAGAGGAGCATGGGTGGGTTGATCATGGGTCAACCAGGTAATTCAAAAGTAAAATGGAATTTATTTAAGCAAAACAGAATTTATCTGGCTTTAACAATAAAGAAAATGTCTTTTTAAAAAAATCCTCCCATTGCATATAAAAGGAGTGATATTCCCCAGTTCAGATCAGAATTGTAGTGTGCATTGAAGCTAGTCATATATGTCATGCATTCTTCAGAAATTATTTGGATCTTACAGTGCAGTTGTATACAAACTTATTATCTTCCGTAACACCTATTCTAATTGCCTCTTTCAATTGGCCTTGAGGTGTCTGTGTATCTTTAGTTGAGCAATTTGATTAAAAAAATGAAAAACACTGCATTGTCAGCTCCAACAAACTCTGAAATTAAAAAAATATTGCTGAGTAATTTATTTCAATGTCTGGAGAAGGAACTCATGGGTTTACATTGAAGATCAAGCTGCCCTTTTTCATAGAGATCCAGGATCCAGGGGCATCTTGCCCATAGAGGCAAGTGGCGCAGGGTGCCAGGGCGCCAAGTTCTGGAGGGCGCCAGGGAAGAGGCGGAGGCTGGACGCGGCGCCTCCCGGCATCAGCTCCCTGCCTTCGCCCACCTCGCTGAAGCAGCACCATGCCCAGAGCCTCCGCCTCTTCCCCGCCAGAGGAGCCGCCCTCCAGCCGCTGCCCGTCTCCTCCAGCTCCGCAAAGCTGCCGGCAGCGCCGTAAAAAGGTCGGCAACTCTGGGAAACGGGGGGGGGGGGATCTTTGCACCATGGCGCCAGATATACTTAAGAAGGGCCTGCCAGGATCTATTCAGTTTTTAAATTTTCCTTTCAGGAAAGGAGTATTGAAAGAAACTGGATCAGAATGTCTAGCAAATAAGTTTTTGAAAGCATTTAAGTAATGAAATGTTGAATTGATGGTTCCAATGTGGCAGTGGAAAGGAAAATATAGGGAGAGAGGAAAGCAGGAGGGGACAGATCCCTGAGCCAAGGAGGTAAGTAATACAGGTGCTTTGGTTGCCTGGTATGATGACCTCTGCCAATCCTCTTGAGCACATTGGAGTAAGGTTTGAGCCAGATGGGATTTGGGGAAATGTCTTCTCGTATGCCTAAACACTATCACAAGTCTCCTGCTTCAGAGTGCTGGTATCCCAAACAGGCAGCATCAGTGTTTTTAGCAGCAGATTTGCTACTAAAATATTACGGTATTTGAACAAAAATGTGGTATGTGGGTCAGGATGCCAAAAAATGACCGAAAGCATAACCAGATCAGGTCTCCAAAAAATGACCATAAATTTGACCCATGGGTCAGAGCGCTGAAAAATAACAAAAAACATGACTGGGGGTTAGCAGCTGAAAAATGACCAAAATTGTGTGCTCAGAGGTCAGGACTCTAAAAATTGACCAAGCTCTCCAATCTGTTAATATCATCATATTGAATCCTGATTCTGCCTTCTGCAGCATTAGATTCCCCTTCCAGTTTGGTGCCATCTGCAAATTTGATGAGCATCCTCTCAATTCCTTCATCCAAGTCATTGAATGGGCCCAGGACAGAACCCTGCAGCACCTCACCTGTCACAATTTTCCAAAATGATGATGAACTGTTAGTAAGTCCTAAATGAGTTTAAAAACGCATTAACTTTCTGTTGCAACCTTTTATTTAGAAAGTGATCAGGGCATGCTGCTGCCCAACCACAGCCACACTACACTAATAGATTTTACAAATGATTTCTATGATTGTCAGCTCTCGCTTCCATCCTAAAAGGGCAGGGGCTAACATTGTTGTGAAGGTGGGAGGGGGATGATTACCAAAATCGATCCTCCTGGCAAATTGAGAATATCCCCTCACTCACCCAAGTTTAGAATATTCCACCATTCTTCAGCAGAGTTTCTTTTTCTTTGAGCAAAATTAGTGGCTCACGTAAATGTGAACTAAGCTTTGATAATAAAGAAAACTGTAACAAAATAACACAATGAGAGAAACTAAATACAACAACATGGGGCAAGTCTGAGGCAAGAAACAAGAAGAGGCAGTTGGTCCCTCTTAACTGACACTCTTAACAGAACACACACTGAAGGGAGGGGCTGATTCCACAGCAAAACACACAAGCCCCGCCCACCAGATACCAAGCACTCTACTATTCAAATTAGGCTCCATTACAAAAATAGCTTCAAAGCCAACCTGGATGTTCAAAGCCCACCCCCGCATCACAATATGCCTGTCCAATATTGAACACAATATGTTCAAGTGGAGGCCCTTTTCTTCACTTTTCTCTACTACCAACCTTACTGTATGCTTGTGAAACAGGGACCATTTATAAACGCCATCTCCAACTCCATGAAAGATTCCATCAACGATGTCTCCGAAAAAAATTACACATCACTTGGGAAGACAGGCAAACTAATGCCAAGTGTACTGGAAGAAGCAAAGATCACCAGTGTCGAAGCAATGATTCTTCAACATCAACTTTGTTGGACTGGTCATGTTGTGTGGATGTAGGGCAGGGGGACAGGAGAGAGGGACTGGGGTGGCAAAGCTTATTTAGTGTATGCTTGGGTTTTTTCTGTCAGCGTCACCTGGGGAAGTTCTCTTTCTATACGCTTGTTATGTTTCTTTGGTGGTGAGAGAGGTTGGGGTGGCCTAGGGTGTGGTTGATCGTCTTTGGCTGGCTGGAGTGGGATTTGTTTGTGCGTGGGTGAGGGGGGTGGTTGGGTTAAGTTAGCCATATGGAATCGTATGCTGTCGGTGGATTATGAGCTCTTTCTAGTGTTAGTGGGCATTGTTATCTTGGAAGATGTTCAGTAGGGCCAATTCTGGGATGACTTCTAGTACTTGTTTAGTTACCGTATTTTTTCGTGTATAAGACGACCCCATGTATAAGACGCCCCATGTATTTTTGGGGACTCCAAATTAAGAAAACACCCCTCAGCACTACCCGCGTATAAGACGAGCCCCAATTTTAAACCTAATTTTTTGGTTTAAAACCCTATCTTATACACGAAAAAATACGATATTTTGCTTATTTCTGGTATGACTGCGCACACTCCTTTTCTGACTGGGTCCTTGATTACTTGGTTTGGTGGGATCTGCTGGTTCAGACACAGCATATGTCTGAGAAGGCCCCACAAGGGATCATGGAGATGAGTGCGAGGAAAAAAACTGTTGTGACATTGATTTCTTTAGCAACTTGGAAGGGCCGTTGTGGGATCCAGAAACGGCAACCTGGAGCCCCACTGACCACTTAACTGCTCTCTTCTCCATCAGCTTGGGAGCTTTTTCTGAGACGTTTGCGGGGTATTATAGGATCCTTTGTCTTTTGAGCATCTTTATCAAGATGCTAACAGATCTGCCTGCCTTTGATCAGTTGTGCTTCAAGGGAAGCTCACCAGTCCTCTGATTCTTTAATATTTTCCAGCCCAGACAGATGTTAACCAAAGGATCTCACAATAGTCATCTCCTTGCAGGAGCAAGGAAGTATAGGAGAATCAGATGCACCACAAGAGCATCTTGGATGGGATGGCTTTCAAAGAGGGCTAGACAATTGCATGGAGGAGAGGCCTATCAAAGGCAACTAGCTGTGATGGCTATGCTCAGCCTCCCCTGTTGGAGGAAGCAATGCTTCTGAAAGCACTTGCTGGAAGCCACAGACTCCCCAAACGTGTTTCACAGGGACCCCTTCCTTCCCTCTGTCCCAGTACCTAAGGGTTGTCATGTCTCTCCAGGGATTTGGCCAGAACAAAGTATATGTTGGGGAAAGGCTCCCTCCCTGCAAAGAAAACGGAACAATCAGCAGGCACCTGGCTCCCAGCCATGCTAGCAGCAGTATGGTGCATAAGGGTGGGGGACACAGGAAGGAAGCATTCCTATAGTATAAGGCACTCAATTGTCATTGCACCTACCTGAACTCTGAGCCTTTCCCTCCTTGTTCTGGCCTGCCTATCTCCTAAGGAAGATGCAAGCTCTTGCTAGAAGCCACTGGTGGGAAGAGTGTTCCTATGATTTCCAAATGTTTCAGAAGCATCTTTTTGTTCCTTTAGTTGCTTGATAGAATCATAGCATGGCAGGGTTGGAAGGGATCCCAAGGGTCATCTAGCCCAACCCCCAGCAATGCAAGGATCCTGCCCACAGCCAGCCCTGGCTAGGCTCCAAACTCCAGCATTCTGGTTACCATTGCAATTCCGCATGGTGTGAAGAAAGGGGAGAGGGAAATGTGTTGCTTACTTTCATAACACTGATATGAGATCCACACCATGAAGCCCTTTCAATAACTAAAGTCTAAAGGGCTGTCACATGGAGGATAGGGCAAGCTTGCTTTCTCCTGCTCCAGAGGCCCTTAGGGCCTGAAGCAGTGACTCTCCTTCCTTGGAGGTTTTTAAGCAGCGCTTGGATGGCCATCAGCCATGGATCATCTAGTTGAGATTCCTGCATTGGACTAGATGACCCTCGGGTCCTTTCCGACTCTACAATTCTATGATGCTATGTTTTA